ATTTCCCACTAACAGTATCAATAAATTGCCTCAATTAACTTTGGATTTGTATGCTCAGCTTCAAGCTGGACTTTCCCCATTTCAACTATTTAAGGAAAATATAAATAATTTGTTTGGTTTGATGATGGATAACACTGCTGCTTTGACAGGATGGCAGGTAACCGTGGCTGCTGCCTTCCCAAAGTATGAGGTAAAGCATAGAGGGAGTCTTAATTTAGCTGGTATGGTTTAAAAAACCTAACATGTATCCCTCAGGGTTCAAACCTGAGACAGGCACGCTGACAGAAGACAACATGACGACGTTGCATGGTGATGCTCCTCCTGTAAGAGCAGCCTTCAAGGACAAGGAGGTTGTCCAAAGGTGCAGCCCAGCTCCTCACAGCTGTGCATGTGAGGAGGACACGAGGCAGCCGGTGTAAGACGAAACTAGACAGGTTCAGACTGCATATAAGGAAAATCATCTTCATCATGAGGGCAGCCAAGCAGTAGATGAGATTGCTCAGAGAGGTTGTGCAGACTCCACCTGTGGAGGTTTCCAAGACGCGTCTGGATCAACCTGGTCTGACCCCAGGGCTGACCCTGCTCTGAGCAGGTTGGACTGGGGACCTCTTGAGGTCCCTTCCAACCTGAATTAGCTTCTCCTTTTGCCAAAAAAACCCACCACATTGTGCTGCAGAAAAATGTCTTACAGCAGTTTTGGATTGACTGTATAGATTGGGGCTGTTACATTTACTAGTGGGACTTTTATGATAAGCATGCTAAGAATATGTATTGACCCCCATCTTAAAAGCGGAATTCAGTACCTGAGTGAAACGGTTATGGATGCATCAGTCGATTCTTGGCTTAAGAGATAAAAGAAACATTGTTTTGCCTTTTTTTTTAATTAAAACATCTTATTTTTATGAAAGATAAAGGTAATTTTAGTAAGAAAAAACTAACTCATTATTATGCATAAGCAATTCCCAGCCTGGGCCTGGATGAATTATTATTATTGTTGTTGTTACTGTTAGAGCAATAGTGAAATACTGAAGAAAGCTGTGTATTTATAAAATATTCAAGATAGACATGTTGCTGTACAACTTGTAGACAGGAAATGGGTTCTTAGTGTTTTAATATGCAAAGTTATGGTGTGTTACTTCTGCACTCACCTCGTTTTGCTTATTTTAAAATTATAATTCTTAGCACATACCTAACTTTTTAATATACTCCAGTCTGTGGGCTGTCTTGTGCCATTGATTTTAGGCAAACTACCTATTGTTCTTAATAGGGAAATCTATTGATAAAAAAAAAGTAAATGGTGTGACATGGCTTGTTAAGGGATGTGGTTCTGATATTAAGCCCGTCAGGGAGCAGCTCCCAAGACCATCGCCCCTGCAGAAGTGGAGCATCTCATTGCTGTGCCTGGGTGGTGGGCACTGGAATCCTTTGAGTTCCCAGCTCCTTGGTGCACCCTTTCCCTCTCCCACTTCTTTAGTGGAATAAAGCCTATGGCACACCCCCAACGCGAGCCACAGCATGTTCCCAGTCTGGATAATTAGCAGTAGAAAAGTAGTTTTTCTGCTAAAACTTTCCATTACCCACCTGAGATGTGGCCCTACACATTAGGCTAGGCTAGTTGTAGAGGACAAAGGCAGAGAAAAGAAACATCAGAGGTAGGTACCATCCTTGCAGGATGAGGGGACTAACAGAGTGCTGGGAATTTAATCTGATGTCTGTTTGTCGTTACTGTCCATTGCAGATAAGGAGACAGCTCCTTGAAAGTGATTTTTTCGGGTGAACTCACATGGGAGGTGCACAACAGCTTATGATGTGCTCGTTGATAACCTTCGCTTCACGGGTTACAGGAATTTCTAGGGACCAAGTTTCAAACCAATCTGTCTGCACCCTCGGTTTCAGGACTCTGACTAATATGTGGGAGCGGGTTAAAAGTTGTATGAAACAATTATTTTCCCTGCTGCCTGCCTCATCCTGCTGACAGAGTTTGTGCCGCTATGCGCCGGGGGGACTGGATGTCTGTGGAGCAGCTCCTGAACTGCTGTGGTTTTAAGAGATGTGATGAACCAAACCTTGCTCCAGAGGCTTGATACTGATGCATCCTAAAGTTAAAGCACTCAGTTTTGTCTCTGTATTTGTTATGAGGTGGCCTGCTAGCATAGTAGTTTTTTGCAAGAATCCAAAGTGGACTCTTATTGTAGATGGTGACCCAACCAACATGTTGAATACCCCTACATGTTGTGTACTATTGCCTGTTCTGCTGTTTAGCTGATACATGCTGTCATCTCAGTTGGACTTCATATTTAACTTTTTAATAAAGAAAAAAATCCGGGGTCCCATTTTACTGAGATGATGCTACAAATTTGAATTTCTGTTCTTGCAATGATCAGTAGTTGGGAATTACCCGGTTCCTCTCGGAAACAAACCTCATTAGGAGTTCACAGGGACGTGGAGCATTTGTTAAAAAATGAATGAAAAGTTGCTTATAGGCATTTTCCTGCAACCACGGTAGGTCCAAAAATTGAAAGCTGGTGTCAGAATTTATTTAATTTTGGTAGCTAGGGCTGGATTAATCTGCTCGCTATTTTCAGTGCTCATTCCACTGTGGTTTATTTTGGGTCATTTAATTTCAACAAGGCTTGATCTGTTTACAGCGCTTTCTATAGTAGCATGACGGGGCCACACAGCTCTTTTATAGTATGTTCATTGCTGACCTGGAGCTCAAAAAACTAGTAAATGAGGCACAGACATGAATAAGTTTAGAGAGGACAGTACATTTTTGTATGGTTGGATTATTTTGGAAAGTTTTCTGAAATAACCAATCTTTTGTGCACTGTGGGTTGCTTTGCAGAGCTTGAAGTGATGGTATATAGTAGCCGTGTGCTTTCAGAGGTCAGAGTGGAGGGCTGTCTGAAGGCACTCTTCAGGCTTAAGATACTTCAAAAGCCACTGTGGTTGAGAGTTGCTCTCAATCCTTATTTGAGGAGCACTTTTGTTTCCATAGGTAGATATTTCCATCAGGTAGAGTAGTGTGATTTGATTTTGCTGTTTTAATTTTCAGATTTGCTGTATGAACCATTCATATACAAAAGAGATCAAGGTTAAATAGATGTCAGTTAAAAATGTCTTAATCAGTTGGCCTCATCAGCCAACACAAAAGCATGTGCTCATTGCCTGCGCTGAGCATGCTCCAATTTAACATTATGAAGGCGGTGGCCTTGTTCTCCCCGAATGGAAGAGCCAGCCGTCTTCTGTGTCCATCAAATCGTGACTATTTCTGGTTCTGCTCATGCCAGCTGACAAAGTAAGGTTCCTTTTGTGCACTTCATTAAACCAGACAGCATTAGTGGCTCGCACAACAGAAGTCAGAAGGAAGGCATGGTGTCCTGAAAATGACTGCATCTTTACTAGCAGGTTAAAACAGCACCAAGAAGTGTTCCTGAGCACCGGGACTGGGTTTTTTCTTAAATTTTTAGCTTTCTTGAACTCTTCTGGCCTCTGCCCTTTAGCATACTCCCGAGCAGTGGCCAGGCACAGTTCAGGAAAGGGTTGTTCTCGGTAGTTTAATAGTGTGGAAATAGCTGTTTGCATTCCCGTTGGCCTCGGTGCAGGAGAACCTTCCTGAACACGTTTAACTCACTCCTGTGTAGGTAGTTATTACATCCTTATAGCAGATTAGAGGCAGAATCAGCAGTGTTTTGGTGTCTGAGTAAGAAGTATAACATTAACACTGTTGTTCTGGGACATTTGAAGTGTATTCAAGGTTTTGTAGCAGTGTGTGTGTGTATGCATACACAGAGTCAGTGTACGTGTGTCCTGTGTGGTGATCTTGCATAGGGATCTTAATGCTTTCTTGGCTATAGGAGGATATTCCTGCTTGGCTACAAATTGTAAAGCCCTTATACCAGTGAATGGAAAGTTTAAAAAGCGCTTTTTAAAAATGTCTCAATTTGGAAACTTATCTTCTACAAGTTGAGTGTGTCAAATGCCGTTTGACTAATGTTCTAGCTCCTCTCGTCACAGCTCTTAAAACTTCGTGACTGTTTGTGAGCCGTGTCATTGAGGAGCTTCTGATCTCAGTGAGTTCTGCCCTGCAGCTGCACAACCTGCTGGTGCACCCTACAATTTCCCTTCCTGGGGGAAAACGTATCAGCGCATCTTATGCTGCCGTACCTACGTTTTGGTCAGCATGCAGTGCCTGTAGAGGTGTGCTCCATGTCCATCCCCTCCAACACAAGCCACCTCAGAGGTGACTGCCCACCCATATTTTTATTGTCTCTTACTGTCTCGTAACTGTCTAAAAATTCCTGGTTTCGGGTTGATCGGGAGCTCTTCTTTTGCTGTGTACCTGCAGATTTAGCGCCATGCACTGCTTCTGAATTTAAGCTGCAAAAGTACCAGCTTGACTTCTGTTCTTTTATACTTGAATGGAAATAGTTCAAAGTTGTGCTGATGTAATAAAAACAGGAGGCCAGAAGGCAGTGAACTGGAATAAGAGTGAACGTATGAGGGAACACAAGCAGAGAGTGGCCACTTTAGATCCTTACTGCCATGAACACGCAATTATTTTTTGATACTATGTGCTTAAAAGCTGCATTTCTCTTCAAGAAGGTTTAAATTTGTTATTCATAATGTAGTGTCATTTATAAAAACATTTATGTTTTGGTAACACCAGATAGTCCAGCCAAGATACCATGAGAGGCAGTTCAGGCAGTCTGGATAATACTCAGAGTATTAAATGTACAGCAGTGATTGGTACTTAACAATGAAAATGCCATCACCTATTTTCAAAGTCTTTCTCTTTTTTCGTGGCTAATAACCTTAATGATCAATCAGAGGTTGAGGCAGAGCTCAAGGCCATCAGCTCCTCCCAGCCTGCTACATAGTTCCCAGGAAACACCCTGTATTTCATTAGTTCTTGCTTAGTTTATGGTGTAATATTCTGCTCAAAGGCATTAAACTATCATCAGAAGCAGTAGACCAATTAGTGTGACTTCTTTTTCCAGGGTCGTTGTACAAGGGAGAACTGCAAGTACCTTCATCCACCAACACATTTAAAAACCCAACTGGAAATCAATGGCAGAAACAACTTAATCCAACAAAAAACTGCAGCAGCAATGCTTGCCCAGCAAATGCAGTTCATGTTTCCAGGGACACCACTACAGCCAGTGGTAAGTATATTTCTCTGATGATGTTATTGGTAAGTAAAGCCAAAGTAGAAGACTATATTGACCTGCGAAAGTTCTCTAAACTAGTGTCAATAAAAATAGTCCCCATCTGTTGACTTAAGGAATTGCTGAGATGCTAGAGATAATGTTCATTTATATTTGCATTTGAAGATACAATGGAGTGTAGCTGTAGATTTGATATTTTTTTTTTATCCCAGACCCATTTGGGTTTTTTTTCTTTCTCTCTTTTGTTCTTTTTTTCCTTCATTCAGTTCATGTCAGGTTTAGCCTAAATTTGCAAGATTTTTACCTATAATCCTTCTGGAGGTGAAAATTTGTATAATAATAATAATAATTGCTAGTAAGCTATTTGAGAAGGAATGCAAAGTTCCCCTCTGAGGAGTCTATGGGTTTGAGTGGCTTTAAATAGTATTTAATCCCAGTACCAGGAACAAAGGTTAATGTCATTCTGGGTAGCATTTTCTTACTCTCTTGAAATCTGAAGTGTCCCAGAATAAGACAGAGAACTGCTGGAGCATGCACTTTACAAACTCAGCGTTTTATCTTAAGGTAATGTGTATGGTGCCTGGGACACTTCAAATCCAGAAGGTAACATAAAACTAGTCTTGCAGGCATGAGCAGCGTCTTTGGATATACATGAAAATGATCGATTGCTCTGGGCTGCCTTTGCAGTTGAGCTCCTCATTGTACCAGACTACCAGAGCATGGTTAGGCAAGTAATCTGAATTAAACTTTTCACACATGGCTGCTAATGATGTTTTCTCAATCTGAATGCCTGGTGTAAGGCACTGGAGTGGGATTTCTTTCTCTAACTTGAGGTATCTGGAGTGTTGGCATCAACTTCTCATTGGGCTTCCAAGGTCCGTTTATAGTTTGTCGAAAGACATAGGCACTTCTAATTACCATTCGCTCGGCTTGTTTCAGACGTCTGCATTCAGATTAGATGATTTGGTTTTTTAAGCGCCTTTGTTTTTGCACGGGCTATCACAGGAGCCAAGTGTAAGCATCTCAGAGGAAGACATCTGTATTTGGTCACAGGAAGCTCACCCCAGATGCCTTTTTCAAATGTGTTTTTACACTTGAAACATCTGCTGTAAGGTGGGAGGCATGAACAAAAATTGGGTGTCAGGAGTCCCTGAGTTTCTGCTACATGATCATCAAAATGTATCTTGGTATATTGGCATAATGTGTTTTGATATTTCCTGGTTTTTTACTGCTTGAGTTTTCACCAGAAAAAGTTTTGAAGAAGAAGGAGATTCCACTTCTTAGTATTATGAGAAAAATCGAAGTGACAAAATTACACTTTTTTTCTACTCACCCATTTCATCATTTGAACTTTACAATTTCATTGACGTAGTGCCTTCTGTACTGATTGCTGTGATAAGTGCTGGGTTTTATTTCTCTGTCTTGCGTAAGTTGCCAGATTAAGATGACTCAGCCTTGACCAAATGGATAAAAAGTGAAAGAAAATTCCATAGAAGTCATTTGACATGTGGATTTATTCTTAAAATTATATCTGATACAAAGCTGTTATTTATATTTTACATAACACATATTGTCCTCAACGTAGTTGAACCGTTGTTTTGTATAAATGTTCATTATTATGTGCTAAAGAATTTAGCTCGCACTCGATATATAGACTGGGCTGTTTGATATCAAGCAGTTTCAATCTCTGATAAAAACAGAGCATTATTCACTTTTAACTCTCTAGGGCAGGTAGATGCCATTTCTGTACAGTTGGGTATCCTGGCTAATCTGCTGCTCAAAGCATCTTCTTGGTACTAACTCACATTCATTTATAATTTAGTAATTGGTTCCAAAGGCAAAAAAAGCAAAACCAAAACAAACCAGGAAAAAACCTTCTAGCTCCTATGTTTTCTCTTGCGTATTTTCTACATGCTATGCGTGGCTGGCTTCCCTTCTCCAACAGAGGCTGTGCAGGCCACCTTGATGAGAAAGACACTCCTCCTTCGTTAAGTGTTTTTAAGTCTTCCCTTAGCGTTCTGCTGTTGCGTGGTTAATTTCTAGCTGCCGGCTTATTTGGGAACTTAATTTCTGACAAAGCTAATCTGAGATGCGTCCTGTTTTTCTGCATAGCTTTTCCTCATTTATAATTATAGCTTCACTCTCTGGGGTAAATGTCAGCTCTGCAGAACTGATGCACTTTCCAGGTCTGACCGTGGCCTGACCGTGGTGATGTTCTGCCACCAAGCCCCCATGGAGCTGGTGGTAACAAACCCACCATTCTGCCTTGGTAGGGCTGCATTTTAGCGTCACACAAGTGCTCTTTCTTCTGGACATGACTTCACTGACTCGCTGTAGGAAGGCATGAAACAGATTTTTAGACCCGCATCATTCCTTCCAATCAAACTTTTTCGTAAGATGAGCTCTAGCTAAGCCTGAATAATCCTTTTCTAAATATTGTGTCCAGCTGAGATTATAATATTTATTCTTCTTGCCACTGGTGACAGCTGAGCACACAAACATTAGCAAAGGTGAGGTTTTTCGATGTGTGAGCCATAGTTACATATAATTGCAGGAGGTGGCAAAATACAGCATGCAAACAGATGGAAGTTACATGCCAGAGAGCTCATTATGTATACTCTTACTAGAAATATGTCTTTAATATAGTTAATAACGCTTCACCTATGAAATCTGGTACTTTGAAAAATAGCCTGTATTCCCAAGGAAAACAAGTATTGAGAAAAAACAATAAAGTCTATGTTATTTCTACTTTTAGATGTGTAAATAAGCCTGCAATGTAAGCTGGACCTCCATAGAGATTCAGGTTCAAACCTTTGCATCGGCAGCCTCTTTTCCAATAATAGGGCTACAAAGGTGGTTCTTTGTATGCCGTTGGAATGTGTTATGTGATTAAAAGAGGAGAGTATGCCGTGTGTTTTGCCAGCTGTTTGAAATTTTTTCATTAAGAAAATGAATCAGCGCCAGAAAGAACACGCAAAAGACAACTAGTAGGCTCTTGATTAAGGGGTTGGTTTTTTTCATCTTGGCTTGTGTTTTCCTTTTGCAGCCCACATTTCCAGTGGGTCCCACAATAGGAACGAACACAGCTATTAGCTTTGCTCCTTACATAACGCCAGTAACACCGGGAGTTGGCTTAGTCCCGACTGAGATCCTACCCACACCGCCTGTCATTGTTCCTGGAAGTCCACCGGTTTCAGTCCCCGGTTCAACTGCTACCCAGAAACTCCTGAGGACCGATAAGCTGGAGGTACTGTAGACACCACCGTGACTAGAAGTACAATCCTCTGTTAGGCTGTGTGAAAGATCCTGGAGGGAAAAACTCAATTGTTTTAGAAACGATGCTTAAATTTAGTTGCTACAAATAAAGACCTTGTAACCAGGCAGGATTTCTGTACTTGCAGCCAGTGGTAATTAAACACTGTTATTTTTAAGGTAGTGCGTTCACTCAGATTTAATACACAGACATCAAGATGAATTTTCATCTTTTGTAAAGTTCATCTCCGCCAAAATACCTCAAGTATACATGCCTGTAAGGGTACGCTTTGATGAAATATCTAACAAGCACGTTTTTATTGCAGTATTAATTCTGTCCCAGTTTTTATGCATTGATATTAAGGGAATTTTATAGCCTTATGGATTGATATTAGGGGAATGGTATAGCCCTTCAGCCTTGAGCTACAAATGGAGATGTCGAATGTTACCAACCCTGCAGCAGGCTGAAGGGGCAAGCCCCCAGCTATGTGCAGAGCCTCCCTGGTGTTGATGGATCTCTGCATGGCTGGGCTCAGTGGAATCTGTGATCCAAGTACACGAGAAGGCCAAATGGCTCTTGCAGAAATGAATGGCCTTTCCCAAAAGCCTAAGCCATAGTGTCTACAGCACATTTCTTCTTAGGAAAATCAGCGTGTTCATTTTGCCCATTTTTGAAAATTATTTTTAAGGAGGCTCTCCATTTTGTTTATAGACTCCATAAAAAATACAGTGTATCTGATGTGTATTTTCCCTGGGTCTCAGCAAGAGGAACTCCTTCCCTACCAGTGGAGCTGCAAGAATGTAAAGTGTAGTCAGAAAGGAACCGAATATTTTGTGATTCCCAGCTAGTTTTGCAGGGGCAATTACTTCAGAAAGTATCCTTCCCAGGTGTTTTCTAGACAGGAAAAAGGAAAGGCATTTGGGAACGCTGCTGTTGCATGTCAAGTTCATTTTAGCTGCCATACTGCAGAGCTACCTGAGGAGCCAAGCACGTAAGGGTAAAATAGATTCATTTTCCTCTCCCAGAAGAAGATGAAGGGTTTATTAAATTGAATTCACTGAAAAACTTGAACTAAGCGGGGAAGGGGGCAGGTCTGTCTTTTGGGGGCGTGGGGCTCTCCCTGCCCTTTCACATTGCGCCAAGCTTTTCCCCTGCAACGCGTGTTGTTTTGCACGTAGGTGTGCAGGGAGTTCCAGCGGGGAAACTGTGCGCGTGGAGAGACTGATTGCCGCTTTGCGCATCCAGCAGACAGCACAATGATTGACACAAACGACAACACCGTAACCGTGTGTATGGATTACATAAAAGGTCGTTGCATGAGGGAGAAATGCAAGTATTTTCACCCTCCTGCACATTTGCAGGCCAAAATCAAAGCGGCGCAACACCAAGCCAACCAGGCTGCGGTGGCAGCCCAGGCAGCTGCGGCAGCTGCGACTGTGATGGTAAGTGCTGGCATATATGGCTGCCTTTTTTTGACAGAAGCTCTTTGATGCCTATTTTGCTTCAATTTAATGCTGTTTGCTTATACTTTCTTTTCTCTTTTGCCTCTTTTTTTCTTTTTTTTTTTTTTTAAAAGATAAGAATTTATAAAATTATTACTGTTGCTTGATGGGAGGAAGCACTTTTTTTCTTTATGCCCTTATTTTAATGCTGTATTTCTATCCAAGACAGTGAAGCAAATGACACTATACCACTTCTGTTCTCTGCCTTGATTTTATGTTAAATTTGCCCCTGGTATTTCTGAGCAGAAATAAAACTGAGAAGCTTCAATGTCCCCTGGAAAATAGGGGCACATATGCTGTTTTAGCTCTTTGATGACAGATATACATGTGGAAATCTGGAAAAAAAGGAAGAAAAGCGAAGAGAGAGCTTTTGCCTCAGAGATTGGTAGTAGAAAAGAAACCTGTATTAGGATTCAGCTCGCCCCACCTTAGATGTCAGACAGTTAGATAACTGAGCCTAGCCTAGCCACCCCACCCATAGGTAGTGGGGGAAAAAACAGCACAGTTATCTGATCTACCACTAGTGCCTGTCTGAGGGTGAGAAAGAACTGCCCTCTGTAGATACATGTCTATCCCCGCTGACTAAAAAGCGTTGACTATATCTTTTTGAACTTTGGTTAGATGAATCTCACACCTAGAGACTTCTCTTGCCTCTCCCACTGTCACAGGCAAGTTACTTGAATCTCTCTATGATACAATTTTTCTATTAGAAAAACTAGGGTTTAAAAGTAGTAGACTAAAATGGGAATCATTAAGAAAAAACATAGTAACTGGAGTCAGAAGAAAAGAGGTTGAGGGTTTTCTATTTTCAGATATTTTAAGCTCTTACTGAAAACTGTTCGGACAAGTCAGCCCATCCATTTACCAGTCTTGGATATCTCTTACGGGTTGCTACCAGGAAAGTTGATAAATTTAAATAGAGTGGTATTGATAAAGTTAAATAAGTCGAGCATGCAGGATCTGACTTGGGAGACAAAATTGCTGGCAGCAAATCAAAGAATCATTGTCCTCATTGCTGGCAGTGGATGAATAATTAAGCAGACGTGGTTTGTGGACTTGTGGGCAGTGCATACAATAGTTATAAACAATACAGTTATTCTCTGGGTAAAAAGCCTACCAGAAACACAATACAGTACAGTATATAACTACCCCAAGCCATTGTATTTAGCAAATTAGCAAAGACCAGACTTTTTGAGGGACAAAGGATAAGTTATGCAAGAAAGTAAACCTCCAAACAGAAGAACATTTCTTAAGTTTTAATATTCTTTCTTTTATAGTATGCCCGGTCTCTGTTTCAAACTGGGTGATTTTTAGTTAAACTTTGCTGTGCTTGCAGAAATTGAATACCATCTGGAAATTAAAGCAAAGGAGATTGTTTTTTTATTCTAATTGGCTTCTATTGTGCAATATTTATTGTCCATTTAGAGAATGTAATATTTCTAGGCAATATACTAAAGAAGAGAGAGATGAGGGGATTCACTTTCTTGCGCTTCAGTAAATGGATATAGAATCATAGAATCATAGAATAGTTTGGGTTGGAAGGGACATCTAAAGGTCATCTAGTCCAACCCCCCTGCCATGGGCAGGGACAACTTCAACTAGATCAGGTTGCTCAGAGCCCCGTCCAACCTGACCTTGAATGTTTCCAGGGATGGGGCATCCACCACCTCTCTGGGCAACCTCTTCCAGTGTTTCACCACCCTCAGCATAAAAAATCTCTTCCTTATATATAGTCTAAATCTGTCCCCCTTTAGTTTAAAGCCATTCCCCCTTGTCCCGTCGCAACAGGCCCTGCTAAAAAGTTTGCCACCATCTTTTTTATAAGCCCCCTTTAAGTACTGATAGGCTGCCATAAGGTCTTCCCAAAGCCTCAACTCTCTCAGCCTTTCTTCATAGCAGAGGTGTTCCACCCCCCTGATCGTTTTCGTGGCCCTCCTCTGGACCCGCTCCAACAGGTCCGTGTCTTTCTTATGCTGAGGGCTCCAGAGCTGGACGCAGTGCTCCAGGTGGGGTCTCACCAGAGCAGAGGAGAGAGGCAGAATCCCCTCCCTCGACCTGCTGGCCACGCTTCTTTGGATGCAGCCCAGGAGACGATTGGCCTTCTGGGCTGCGAGCGCACATTGCTGTCTCATGTCCAGCTTTTCATCC